CTAGGCTTCTGCTTGGAATTTCATAGAATTCAGTGAAGAAATCCACCTTGCATCAGAAGAGATTTGGGATGACGTAGAGACACTTAAGGTAACTACATTGTTCCTCTTTATGAAAAAGCTAAAGTTGGTGTGTGGCTGAGTTGAGACTGATTTCCATGGAGTTCCTTCCAACGTTGTAAATGGTTCCTACCGACAGATTTGAAGTTGAGCACTGAAGGATAGGTTGATGACTGGGAGAAAGCCCTGTAGGGACACCCCCAGGATGTGTCAGTGTTGTGCATCTGAAGGGTGCTAAACATATTGGCCACCCCAAGAGCACAGATCACTTGGCTGCAAGGGAGGGTGGTGGTACCCACGTGAAATCCTGTTGCTTGACAGCCCTCCAGGAGCCCAGCTTCCCAGCTTTTTCCGAAAGACGTCCTCATCATAGCCAGAAGAGCTGTCTAGATCCTGCCTTTCAATTACTAGCGATTAGGCCAGAGCAGAGTGGAGCTGGGAACTAGATGGGGTGCAGGATGAGGACTGGGACAGAATTTGCGATTCCTGGCGAGGTGTCATAAAATGAACGCCGAGGCGACCACCGAGAGGAAATTTGGGAACCGAACCAAGTACCTTCCGCGGGGCTCTTGGGGCCAGAGTGACGTGGCTCCATCAGGTGGAAACCATGCAGTCCTCCCCCTACCCAACTCACGAGAGATTAAGATGTCTAAATAACCCTGATCCTCGCCGCCACAACCTTGCCCAGGCTTAGGGGGAGGAGGCTGGGGCAGGGAAGTGGGGGGCGCCTTTTCTGCTGAAACAGCGGCTGGGGCATGTTTGTAGGTTTGCAATTCACCATGATAAATGTAAAGACCAATTAAGGTTTGATCCGTGCACATGGGAGGCAGTAGGCGGCTGATAGTGGAACCAATTAATGAGCATGTCCCCTAATTCCTGCCGCGGCCCCGGGCTCACCGTGGATCCCCCGGCACCTGCGGCTGCCCAGGAACCCCCCTTTCCCCCGCACCCCCCTCCGGGCCCTGGAGAAAGCAGTCCTCCTCCAGCGGGAAGGTGCGGAGATCGGGGCCCCAGGAGGCTGGGGAGGGCCGCGCGGGGCAGGGAGGCTGAAAGCCAGCCGCCTACGGAGCCCAACTGTTTGCAGCCGGCGCCCGGCGGATGGGGCGCTCCGAGTTGTCCGCGCGGGGCAGGGACGGCCGCTGTAAGGCGCCCGGCGCGAAGCCAGGCGGTGCCTCGAGGGCGGAGGACAGGTGGCCAGGCGTCAGCCGCCAGGTAGCAAACAGCTCGGGAGCTGCGGTCCCACGGTTTTGCCTGCCCCAGGGCCCGGCTCACTTCTGCCCGCAGCGGGGGGCGGGGTGGCCTGGCGTAGGTGGTGTGGGGCTGGAGTGAGCCCCGGGCCCCGGGAGCCTCGGCCTGTCCCCTCGCGCTCTCCTTTCCCTTCCGGCTCAGCCCGCTGCCCCAGACGTAACCCCTGCGCAAGGTGTTGTGCTGCGCGCAGCCCGGGCGCGAGTGATTAATGGCCCCGAGGTTGGGGGCAGCGCAGACACTGTTCTCTCCTGGCTCGGCCAGGGTGTGAGGGTATCCGGGAGGAAAGCCCGGTCGTGGAAGTGGGCACCCTGGGGACCGCGGCAGCGGAGGAGGAAGAGGAGGAAGAGAAGCTGGTGATGCGGCTCGGAGAGGCTCATCCCCTCTGGCCTCGGGGCGGGCTCGCGGCTAGTGCCCCGCGTCAGCAAAGTTTGGAGCCATTGGCACCGCGCTGCGCGGTGCGCGGGTCCCTCCCCGAGCAGTTCCCTCGGCGGGGTCTGTGCCACTGCCGCTGCCGGGGCAGGACAAAGGCTCATTAACACGTGATGGGACCGCGCCTCATAAATGGGACTGGATCGAGAGGGAGCCAGAGACAGGGCGCGAGCGGAGGGAGAAGGAGGCGCCGCGCGAGCTGGGCGAGGCGACGGACACCCGGTTGGCAGAGTCGGGCGGCCCCACGCTGGGCCAGGCGGGGCGAGCGGGAGGACCCAGTGAAGAGCCCGGGGAAGGGGCGAGGCTCGCGGCGGAGGGGGCGCCAGTCCCGATGCTTGTCGCTTGCCGGCGCTGCAGGCAGGGGACGCCGGCGCGCTCGTAGCGCGTACTGACTGACTTACTGACCGACGGACTGAGGCACATCCCGCTCCACCCCACCCCGTCGCATCCCGGCGCCGGCGCTGCCTCCCTCCCACTACTCCCGCGGCCACCCCTTCCTTCTCCACTTCTTTTCCGCCTCCGCCTCTTCCAGGCTCCCGCGGCGCCAGTGCCGTCCCCTGGCCCGGGCGGGGCTTCTCCGCTCCCTGCAGAGCTCTCCGTGGAGTGGAGGGGGACGTTCTGTTCTAGCAGAGCAGCAGTCCCCGTGCCGGGCGAGAGGTGCCCAGGGAGCTTCCCATCTGAGGACCAGGTGATGCGAAGGGTAAGACCTGGCCGACTTGCGTTTGCAAATACTTTTCCCTCCTCCCTCTCCCTTGGGTGGTCCCCAAGTGTCCATCGTAGAGTTCTTATTCCGTGTGAGGGAATCGTGCGTTGGTGTTTACTTAGCTATGTAGCCCCAGCCTGTTAACTGTGCTACTTCTGGAGGTTTCTACTATTTACTAGTTACTGAATGTGTGTGCACCTGGCTCTCTGTATGCATTGATGTCTGTTTGTGGAAAATGTGTAATTGTGCATGTTTGAAAAACAGGCGCTTGAGTTGGTGCTTAATGTCTATAAACCATATCAGTACCTAAGTCTCCCCGAGAAATGCACTGATCTCTGCACCAAATCGGGAAACTATCTAAAGTAAATTACTAAATGTCATATAAAGAAATGTATGTCAAATAATAAACTTTTGATGTTGAAAAATATAGCTACAGGAACCACTCTTCTTTGAGATAAATAAATGGACATGCAACTAATATCTAAATTTGAATGTTGATGGAACCATTTAACTCAGAAGTGGCCATTAGCTGAAAAAAAATGATGTGTTTTTAAAAGACATTTCTTGCTAAGGCTCACAACCATAAATGGATCACCTACTGAATGCAAATGTGTTTGCTGTGATAGACATGAGACGCTGTCATTTGGTCATTTGAAAGTTTAGAAGCAACATGCATGTATCTAATTTTAGTTTTAATTTGAACAGATGAGGGGGAAAATTAGTCACCTATTAATCATTTTGTTTCTCTCTTTTTTTTCCCTCAAAAAAGTATCATTTTTGCCTTTGTTGTTGCTTTCTTGATATATTAAGCATCCTCTGGTGATTAAAACAAGAGATTAGAATGGATTTACTGGTTTTTAAAGGTGTTAAAAGATATTTCTGTGGTCCCATAACTTCTTATTTTTATTACCAAGTGAATATCTTTTGAACAATGGGGGGAATGTAATTTCTTAGCAGGAACTGAGTAGACATTGAGTATCAGTGGGTGACCACTGCCATCAATCTATTTTGCAGAATATTGAGAAGCTCAAAGCAACCAACCTTTAAGGTTCCCATAGGACTTTATCTGATTTAAAGTGTTGCTTTTCTAATCCCACCCTGCTGACAGTTTGCAAGGAAAGATAGACTGATTGATTTTTCTTGGTCCTCCTTTTTCCTGGTACTCCTTTCCCCTCCCCCATTCTTCTAACTCAGTTTAGAGCAATTTTATCCAAATAAAAGGCCATGTATAGTTTCCTAAGTGAAACAAATTATTTTCTGATTATATCCATACATGAACGGTGTCCACATACCTCCAGAATTTGAAACGTTGTGTGCTGCAGGCAGTTATTTGCAGGCACAACAGCAGTTACCATAGTTGGGCAGGAGGCTTGAGGATGCACATGGTCTTTAAAAACTAATCCATTTTAGGTTTTCAAAAGAACTTACTGTAAAAGGATTCTTTTTGTTCCAAAGATGTCTTCACTCCAGGCGAGGAGCAGTCTTGGCTGAGGTATGTATCAAGTGTCTGATAGGGAGAGGTCTCATTGTGTTTCTAGGTCTTCATGGGGGTAAAATGATGCCACAGGGGGGAAATGCTGTTCTGACCTTTCAAAAATGAAATGACTATGCTTACATACTCGTTGTTAGTTTTAACAGATAGTATCAGTATATGTGCATATAGAAAGAATGTTATGCTTAGTCCCTTCAATAAAGCATAGGTGATAGTATTTAATTTAGTGTGAAGTTTTCCATTCTTGTGAAAATGTGATCTCACATTGGAGTAGTGCTCGGCTTTGTTTGTTATCACTGTTTTCTGTCTTTTTCTGTTACCCTTTTCCCAGTGGACTGCGTGCCTCCCTGTCTAGCCTGTGAGATTGTTCTTCTCTAATAAGCCTAGCTGCAGGATCAATGTGTTCTTTTTGGCATTTCAAAATGTTAAAATAGTGAAATTGTTAAATGTTACCAAGATGAAACTGCTGGGAATGAAATTCTCCAGAAGAACCACTATATTTGTGGCATATTTCAGTCTATTCCAAAAGAAAACTCTTGAATCCGTGTACCTGTTTTCTCAAGAAAGAAGCAGCCCCATTGATTAGTGTTGATAAGTGTTTAGTATGCAGTGTCAGCTTATTAATTACTAAGGCAAAGCCTGAAAAACTCTTTCAAAACAATTGTGTGACATTCTTCTGTGCTTTGACTCAGAATTAACATTAGCTACCAGGAAATTTAGATAGGCTCCTTGGTTGTCTTGCAGATTAGTGTTTGGATTTAGAATAGAAATACTTAGCTGTATAAGAATAAACTATTATGAAATGGAACTTATAACAGTAGTTTACAGTTTACCACGCTTACCAAATGTTTCTCCCCAGAAAACAGTTGGCCTAATAAGAAAGGGGATTATTTCTCATAATTAGCTCTCCAGGAATGCTGCAAAAAAGAGTAATAAATTGAATTTGGAAATCTTTACCAACACATGATGAATAAAATGAGATTTGGTTACAGCATCTTGAATTTGGTCAATAAGATGGATCCTGTCCTTTAGGTTGCTGCCTGTTGTTCTAGGGGGTAATTATGTTAGCTCAGTTGCATGATGAACACAGATGAGAGCTTTCATTCCTGCAAAAAAGGATGCCGTGTCTCCACCAGTGTAAGTCTGGCTCTTCTATTTTTGTATTCATCATTTTCTAATTGAACCAACAAATTAGAATGAAACCAGCATTTGAGTTTAAATTATTTATAATTCTGTTTTTGACTCTCAAACAACCTGGGCCCAGTAGTGTTTGAAAAACTGTTCTGGGACCAGGTTTATATATTGCATATGTACATTTTGAGGGACCACAAGCTCTGCTGATTTTTCTTTTCTTGACTGAAGATTGGTGGAGAAGTTAAAGAATAAGAGGAAATCAAGACTAATTGATGTACTCTATACTGGCAAATTTTTAACTTCATCTTCCCCCCACCCCCACTCCCACCCCCAAATCTCCAGCTTTTTCCTAATCCAGTTCTTTGGTAATGTTAACTTTCTATTATAACTGCATGAATGCTGTTTTTGAGGGGCAGGTCAACACTTTGCCACTGAATTACTAGTAAATGTTTTGATAGCCATTTAATTAGATCAGATGAACTTTATAACATCTTTTAGATAAACTCTGATTTCTCTGATATATTCTGAATTAAAAGAAACAATAAATGTCTTCCAGAATATATATATAATCAAATTCTATACCGCACTTTTATGCGTAGGTATGAACTAACTTTTTCATAGAGGTATATCATGACCAAAAGAAAATTAGACCTTTAAAAAATATATTTAAACATATTTGAACATATAATTTAGGTTTTAAATAAATATTATAGATTTGGGGAAGTGTCCAAATTTAGGGCAGCTGTACAGATGGACACTGAACACTCAAGGCAAAAGAAAGTATCCAGCTTGATTCAAAACAAGGCTGTTCTTATTTTACACCATAGTGGAATACTGTTTTAGTCTCATGTGTTCTGAGAACCTTGCAAAGATGCCAGGATGGGCATAACCACATTTGATCATAGTCTTATCATAAAAGCTAATTGATGGGTTTAACAGTTTTCACCAATCTTGCTAATTGCTTATTATTTGGGGGGAGAAAGCTGAAGGAAAGTTGGAAGAAAATATACAAAGTTATTACTATATCACATGATACACATGAACAAAGTAACATTTGTTACTTATAACAAATTACAATGCTATCACAAGTAAGTTACAGCTATAGAAAATTTGTGAGGCCAGAGGAAGGGAGGGTTATGTTTAGTGATTTTCCAGTGCCTCTCTCTTGATACTATTCAAATGGTTTGATGTTAGATGAACTTCTATATCAAACAGGCCTGCATGGATAATAGGTAAGTTAGGACATTATCAGTAGTAATAGGTCAAAACTATCATATAAAGTAACCAATGTGAACCTCTAGTTTGTAACATAAAATATTTGCCCAAAGTTTTCCTGGGTCATAGTTCTTCAATGAACAGGGTACCTCATAAAAAATAAAGTATTACATTTCATTGTAATAGTTTTTCTAGGACAAAAATTTTGTATCTAGTTTTCCATTGATATTTTCCATATAGATTATTAATGTATAATTTTGGAATATCCTCTAATTTAAAAGTTTCATTTGGAACATGGTTAATTGCATAACTTAGTGACCACGGAATTCTTGAGGTTCACAGTTGTGTTTGTATAGGTTTTTGAGGAAAGGATTGTTTACTCACCAAACCCGAGCAAATGGGCCTGACAGAGTCATAGTAGTTATTCCAGAACACTATGAATTCTGTATTAGCCCCAGCTGGTGAGATTCTCACGCCTGCACTTCAGGAAAGCTTTCAGAGTTTTTCTTTGTTTGTTTTCTTTTCTTTTGTTTTTGAATTTGTGAGTTGAGACTGGTTAGGTAGGAATCAATATTTTTTAGCTAAATCTTTTTAACCCACTGTGCTATTGCATTATATTCTGTATTTTTGAATAAGATTCCTAAAGTAGATTTTGTATTTTTTTTAATGTAACAAGGGAAGTAAGTTCTCCCTTTTCCTACCACAGATGACAAATCATTTTTCCCTAAAAGTACAATATTGTATTATCTAATGTGTTATTTTTCTACTCTTATATTCATAATTGTTTAGAGTTTGGATTCGTTGAATAGAAATTTGATATCTTTGGCTTGATTCCTTACCACCAATATCAACTCTGAATAGCATTTTAAATTGTTTTTTAACTTCAGGCGATAAAGTGCAGTATAATTATCTAAATTTGACAGTGTAATATCTATTTTTTTAATTCCAACTAACAAATTCCATGCTATTGCTTTTTAAAGAAAAGCAGAGGCATTTTTCAAAGATGTGCCAGGCAATCTGTTGTGGTAGTTGAATATACTGGCAAATGCTTTCACAAATTTTGTATGTCAGTAGTATATTTAAATATAATTAAAATAATGTACAATTAGAAAGTAATGTTTGTCAAAGTTTAAGATAAAATGAGAGGGTTCTCCTCTTTCTTGTATCATTTCTTCATTTGTTATTTTAGACCATATATTTAGAAGATGGCTGGAATCAATATGGGTTCTATGAATTAAGCTATAAGTTGCCCATTGAACTTGGTGATGAATTCCATTACATTTATCCTCACCTGAGGACATTTTTCCTTTTTTTGTTCAATTAGAGTGGGAGGGGAGGAGAGAGAGAGAGAGAGAGAGAGAGAGTGAAACATCAATGTATAAGGAACACATCGAGTGGTTGCCACCCGCACAACCCAACCAGGGCCGGGGACAAACTGCAACCGAGGTACGTGCCCTTAGCAGGAACCGAACCTGGGTCTCTCTGGACCGCAAGCCGATGCTCTAACCACTGAGCCAAACCAGCCGGGGCGAATTCCATTATGTTTAAAAAGAATTTCTACTTTCACATATGGACATTTGTACTAGGAAATTTCATAACATTGATTTCTATTGGTCAAGAGACTGAAAACAGTGTTTTTAATATAGCAAGTGAACCCACATCATAGGTAGTATGCCATTGTCACTCATGCTTGCTTTTAACCCAGCTATATTTATAAATAAATCAATTTGATTTATTTTTTTATAAGAGAGACTTAATTAATGCCACTATGATATGTGTATTTTGGTTTATTCTGGTGTGAGTTGTTAAATGGACCAGATTTCATCTCATTTTAATGCATTGCGACCAGAATTTGTAAACGTTTTCTCCAGCTTTTATATGCGTTGTGGTGAACAAGCAATATGCATGTGGAGAAGAAGCAAAACTAAATAACTTAACACATAGCCAAAGTAAGCAAAAGATCGTCCAAAAACTCTGTATCTTTGCACATGTGGGAATTTGGCTTTGGAAAATGTACAGCTACTTTTGGAAATTATGTCTACGTTCTTACAAATAAAAAAGGGAAATCTTTGAATGATTTCATTCCTCAGCTAAGGAAACTAATTGTGAGGAATCTATGGTCCATTTTTTATTGACAAAATAATCAGAGAGAGAACAGTCTGGCCAGAGTCATATATTTTAGTGCTTTGGGATACATTTCCATACATTTATAACTTTTAGGTACTTTCGTAAGGTACTTGCCATGCATAAGCAATGCAAGTTGCATAATTACCCGGGTAATTCTGTAAGATCATTTGCAGTGGATCTGCAACACTTGAGCCTATTGCAAATTTTCCATTTTAGTTTGTGGTTTGTTGGGTTCATCTCCTGTGATACATTATTTTATAGTTCTGGGAACAGAAGAACAGAAACAGACATTTCCATCTTTAAAAAAAAACCCAGCTGGAATACTAACTACTTTTACTTTTTTTCCTGTTCTTTTATGCCCAGGAACCATGGGTTCCCTCATGATGGTGTTGAAAGAAATGGTTAGCAGTCCTATAAAACTTTGCATAGACTTTGCCAATAGAATTAGGAGAAAATAGGGTAGAGTTCTTAATTTATGCCTGCAAACTGAGTACATAAATATTATACCTTGAGGTCATTTGTCCTTACTGGACAAGATATGTAACAGTACATTTCCTGAAACAGTGCAGAGAAGCCCTGAATTGTAGGCTGAGAGGTTCCCTACTTGTGCTTATTTTCAGGCTAGACTACCGGCTTCTATTCCAACCAAATAGAAAGGCCGTGGTTTTAAAGATCAGTGAGATTACTGTGGCCTTGTAGTGTAGTTTGATAACAGGTAGCATGATTCCTCCACCTTTGTTCTTCTTTCTTAAGATTGCTGTGGCTATTCCAGGTCTCTTGTGGTTCCTTTACCATAAGTCCACAGTAATCAAAACAGCATGGTACTGGCATAAAAACATACATACAGATCCATAGAATGGAATAGAGAGCCCAGAAATAAACCCACACCTTAATGGTCAATTAATATTTGACAAAGCAGGCAAGAACATATAATTGGGTAAAGATAGTCTATTCAATAAATGGCATTGGGAAAATTGGGCAGATACATGGAAATAAATGAAATTAGACCACCTTCTTATACCATACACAAGAATAAACTCAAAATAGATGAAAGACTTAAATCTTAGACTCGAAACCATAACAATCCTAGAAGAAAACGTAGCCAGTAAAGTCTCGGATATTTCTCATAGCAACATTTTTTTTCTGATGTATCTCTTTGGGCAAGGGAAACAAAAGAAAAAATAAACAAATATGACTACATCAAACTAAAAAGTTTTTACATAGCAAAAGAAACCATCAACAACATGAAAACACAACCCATTGAATGGGAGAATGTATTTGCCAATGATATATCTAATAAGTGATTAATTTCCAAAATTTATAAAGAAGTTGTAAAACAACACCAAAAAAGCAAGCAATCCAATAATAAAAAAAAAAAAATGGGCAAGGGACCTGAATAGACACTTCTCCAAAGAGGAAATACAGATGGCCAATAGACATGAAAAGATGTTCAGTGTCACTAATTATCAGAAAAATGCAAACTAAAATCACAATGAGATATCACCTCACACCTATCAGAATGGCTATCATCAATAAATCAACAGACAACAAGTGCTGGTGAGAATGTGGAGAAAAGGGAACCCTCGTGCACTATTGGTGGGAATGCAGATTGGTGCAGCCACTATGGGAAACCATGTGGAGCTTCCTCACAACAATTAAAG